CTCCGTCCCTCTCTCTCTTTTTCTATGTCTCTTTTTTCTCTCTCATGCTCTCTCACTTCTCACTCCTTACTCGCACCCACTCCCCCTTCCTCACGTCATGCACTCACTCACCTCATGCAATGTCATGCGGTAGACACGCCCGATGCGAAGTCTCCTATCCTATTCAGGTAGGTTCCTGCATCCGTCGTCGGTTTGGATCCGTTTTTCTCCGCCAGATGACTGTGTGACTGCAGCGTCGACAAACACCTTGAAAGGTAAGCGTCCTCCACAAGAAGGTGTTCACGACCAAGGCACCGCGCATCAAGGAAAGCTTCAAACTTGCTTTGCTGGTTTTCGGGAGGCAAGCCGACTGGCCAGAGCCCAAGCTGAGTGGGTACGTTCGGATCACCATGGCTAGAATCTGGACGAAGTGCGAAGTCTGCCGTGGAGGCAAAGGACGGCCGCTGGTGGATGCCGAAAGAGGCATCGCAGTTCATCGCAGTTCTTTCCGTGTTGCTTCTATGACATTGAGCAGAGCGGCAACAGACTTGGCGAGTTGCAGAAAAGTCGGTTACGCTTCATCTACACATGTTCCCCAGGCAAAGGACCGGCGCAGCTGGACGGCCGACACCTGAATGCTGCCAACATCGATCGGGCAACAGTCGTCATCATGTTTGTTTCTGTTCAACTCCTTGGCACAGAAGTTAACTGCCGAAGGCGCCTCTCCAGCTCCACTTGTCTCTAGCCTCTGTCATGCACCTCTTCCTCTTGAAGTTGAGTCCGACAGAGCTGTGAGTTTGTACTTCACCGAAGCCGGGGCTGCAAAGGGGCGTAGTGCAAGTTGAGCCCGAAACTCAAGGGGCAGGCCCTGGTGGGTGCAGTGTCTTCCGGACACAGTCGCGAGCCGAGCATCTGCACGAAAGGCATGAAGTTTCCACGGAGCTTTGAAGGGGGGATGAAGATGGGTACTCCGAAAGGCCTATGACTTTCGCTGCGCAGTTTCTAAAATTCGGGGCCAGGCTCATGTCGGCAATCGGACTTGAATAAGTAGGCCGAAAGGTATGTCGGTTGCGTTTTTTGGCTTTTAGTGTGCCCAGTTTTCAGGGCAGAGGCGCAGAACCAAACAGTAGACCAACTGCGAGGCCAGCTGCCGCAGCATCTCTGGTTGCTGGAGAGGCAACTTGACGAGTTCGGATTGATGAAGTCAGCAGGGAACTTGCAAGGAGCGGAGGCCAAAATAATGCAATGGTCAGGTGACAGGTTTGATCAAGTTCGAAGTTGCTGGCACCAGGCACCGCCACCTAATCTGGGGCGACACAGGCGGGTTGGGCGTATCACGTTCCGACGAAGTTCTGACGTGAATTGACAGCACGGAGGTTTTGTGAGAGTTGTGTCATGGCACTGACGCTGCCCAGGGTCGGCGGTCAGGAGGACAGCCATGTGTTCACACGCCAGATGCGGCAGGAGCCGGATCCTTGGCGTGGAGAGTCCAGGAAGAAACTCTCAAAGCACTGCAGTGGCACTGCTCGGACATGCTCGGACGAAGGTCCTTCCCCAGCGATCGGGAGCCCGGCTCGTCAAGGCGGGGCGCCGGGCGCTCAGCCTCACGATGGCAGCCGCGATCAAAACAGGGCTGAAGATGACCGAAGCAGCAGCAAAACCCGGCCACTCCATCTGCCGTGTGCGTCTGCTTTCTGCCTGCGCCATAACTGCCCAAGACACCGAGCAAGCATGTGCTGGGAGGGCGAGATCAAGAAGTCCATCTCAAGCAATATGAAACTTGTAGCAAGTATACAGCTTTGATTTCCACTGCAGGTCGATGTCAGCTTGGTTTCACGCAAGTCCAAGACCTTCCCGGAGTTTGATCAGATGCCAACCGTCTGGGTTGGACTGTTGTTACCCTGACTTTTGTGACCTTCCCTACCGGGCCTTCTTTCCAGAGTCATTCTCAGTCAATACTGATACACTGGCTAGTAGACCGGAGGGAAATCACGACCTGCTTGTGACCATTTCTTCATTCCCGATGCCTCCTTTTTAGGCTGGTCGGCTGCCGTTGCCGAAGCACTTGCGACAGAAGGAGAGCCTTCAGCGTGCGTGCTACGAACGGGACTGAAGTGCGATGCACTTGTTGAGCCTTTCTGGTCAAGGAGGATGCGGCAGCGGCCCCCGTGCCAAATGCCGAGGCGGATTTGGTGAAGCTTGGGCTGTTTCGGGTTGCATGCATCGAGAATCGCCAGGAGGTCGGTGCTAAACGGCACAGAGAGCAGGACAGAGTGGAATCGCACTTTGGCAGACGCGTTTTGTAAGGTCATCTGAGACAACTGGCTCTTCGTTGTGTCAAGCGGAAGGGCTTCATTAGATATTTTCCACATGCTGCAGTACTTGTCCCAACGAAAACATGGAGCAGAAAACGGCACAATCATAGTTTCGCCCGTCGACTCATGGTGAGGGTTTGTAGAGCATGGGGGACAAGCAACATTGGGTGTTATCCCTGCAGGACCCTGACTCGCCGATGGGGCAGGTTGGCCGGTGGCTTTGGCGGAGAGTTGGTTGGGGCAGCATGCGAGGTCTTCTCGATTTCGTTCTCCTGTTCCGGCTCCCAGGCCCTCCACTCAAGTTCGCTATGAAGGGGGCAAAAGGCTGCAAGCTGAGATGCAGTGCAGAGGTTGCCAGTCAGCTTGCCTCCATGTTCGACCTTTTATGTGATTTTGCATGCAATACATGCATATGTAAGGATTTCTCCTGATTTTCTGCTAATGCCTGCTGAGTATGAGGTCCGACGGTTGAAGGCGAGAATCTTCATGCTTGGCTCAGCCTTCGGATGTCTTAGTCGGCTGCTCTGCGTTCCTGCATGAGAAGACTCGGCTCCGCCAGGTGGTGCCGGTGGTGCCACGGGCAAATCCACGCCGAAAGGCCGTGTGAGCCCATCTGACTCCAAGGGCGCAGCGCATTCTGGATAGCAGAGATGCGAAGCCTGGCTCAGGGCAAGGTAAACACCAGGATTCCGGTGGCCGTCTCGTTTTCTGACAATGACTTACTTACGGATCCGAACATCCTGGATGTTCGTGTGCCTCTCAGGCCCTCCGGAGCCGAGCCACCTGGCCACGCCCTTCAGCCGCTTTTCAACGAAAGGGATGCCTGGCCTTGGCCTCAGCCACGGAGCACAGCTGCAGGACGCGAAAACTCGGAAAATGCAACGAAGGGATAGACAATGCAGGCTTGCCAAACTGCAACTGCGATTAAACATGGCAACGCAAGGCAGAATCCAGAAATTGACTGCACCGTGTGATTCGGATTCACACTTGTGTTCATGTAAGTCCTTGCCTGACGGTTCTTCGAGGCAAACATGCTTCGCAAGATTCCGGCCACCATGACGAAGGCAGAGTGCACCATTCCTCCGGTGATCTGCAGTCAGCTTCAATTTGCCCTCGGGAGGCGGCCGGATGACTGGCCCTGGCCTTTGCTCAAGCTGTCGGCTGCCTCGAATGCAGAAGCGTGTCGCGGAGGCAAAGGCAAGGGAAAAGAGCAGGCGCCGGTGGGCTCTGACAGAGGCTCCAAAGTTCCACGGACAGCGAGAGATGCAAGTGGTCAAGCACGTTTATTGGATTTTGGCTGGGAGTACTGCGCAGGCAAAGGGCAAGCACAGCCAGACAGCAGCAGACACCTGAATGTTGTCCAGTTTGTGGAGATGGGGCGATGTTGGCATGTTTGGTGTTCGCAGTCTTTATCCTTTTTCCAGGTGCTGGCTCTTGGTCGCAGAAGTCTGCTGGCAAAGGTGCAACTGCTCCATTGCTTCAGTCAGAAATACCTTTATTCTAAATTCTTGAGGAATTGTTTTTTGAGCATTGAATTTCGCATGCCGATTTGCACGACATTCGTTTGCTCTCTTCTTGCTTCACAGGCATATCAGTATCAGGTTCTCACAGACGCAAAACAAGACGTTCCTCTACACCAAATCTTGCGAAGTTCAGTGCTGTGTGCCCAGGTGCTGCGGCAGCGGAGGCTGGTGGTGCATGCGGGGGTCACGGGAGGAGCTTTTCCCGGTGAGCACAGGCAAAGACGCCGCCACCGCCGGCTATGGTCAAGGCGAGCTTGACGTTTGACCTGACTCGACGAAGCAGATGAGGAGCTCCGTCAAACGAGCCCCAAGCCGACCGAGGCACAGATCCTGGCACCCCCACCGTCCTTGCAAAAGAGCGCCTCTGCGTGCACAGCAGGCCGGACCCAAGCAACGAGCACTTGATTTCACGCACATTGCGCGGAGGGAGAGATAGATACACACTGTCGGCCCGAATGCTGTCCGGAAGGGGTCGAGCGGCAGTAGGTGAGGGCTCTGTCGTGGAAGAGGTGAATCATGTATGAAGTTCATGAGGTACCACCGGCAAGGCTGGTTCTGTCGGCCCACCTCAGGGATTGCTGGCCAAGGCCGGATTTTCTTCATAGCCTTACGTATGCCTTTCCCACATTTTATGCCACTGTACTGCTTGGAGCATGGAGGCACCTGCGATGCCGGTCCGGCTCTAAGTTTAGAGCGTGGTTGCCGGCTCGCTTGGTTTGTTTCGATTGCTGCAAGCTGGCTTGTGCGCGACTCTTCGGTGACCGAGTTTGGCTCAAGTGCGGCTGTCAAGTATTGTCTCTTTGAACACATCCGCCTGAAGTTGCCATTGCCTCAGCCCTGCGCGACAGAAAAGAACCATCCCGCTGGAGTTTGTGGCTCTGAGTTCCGGAGGAGGTTTTCATCAAGCTCCCGCAGCTGCCTCTCACTGAAGTGCTTAGTTGTATACTCTCTCCAAGGTCATGGCCGAGGTGGGTCAAGCCAAGAGGAAGATTGCGGAAGTACAGGTATCACTGCATTCTGTCAAACCTCCGTGACACTTTTGTAAACTTGGATCGTGACAGGAAGATGTTTACCAAGAAGAAGAGTTGCCATACAGTCTCATCGACAAGCTTCAGGAGCCACTGTGGTTTTCGGGGTGCTCTCTTATTTCAGAGTCCTTCTCATGTTTGCTCTTGAGGCAGTGTGGCGTCTGACTGACAAGTCTATCCCTCTACCCAACTAGTGCTTGCAACGTGCCCTGTGTCTGTATCAGCACATAGACCCAACAAAGCATGAGTTTATGTGCAAGGACGCAGGCATCAATGCCGCTGATCTCAAGAAGCTTAAAGATGTCAGCTGCTTACAACACATAGCCACCTCGCGGCTGCTGTCATCTTCTCACTTTTGGAGTACACAGTTCACAGATGTTGACAGCATTTGGGCTAAGGCTGGTTACAACACCAGTCAGCCGCTCCCTCACATGGAATCAAGTTGCAGAGCAGCCATGGTACTAGTCGACACGATGTAGGTCGGTCGTTTTCGCGATGCGCAAAGATCTGTTGAACATCAAGGGCCTCTCCGATCAGAAGGCTCGCTGCATCTGAGTGGAATTTGTGTTTGCCGAAGTTTGATTTGATGTTCCCTGAACAGTGCTGGATTGCTTTGCAAGGTGGATAAGATCATAGAGGCTGCGCGGAAATCGAGCGAGGTGGCGTGCGGGCAAAATCTTGACTTGTGCTGTTTCGGATTGGGAAGTGTTTTTGTGCCCAGGCAGGCTTTGTCACCTGTACTCAGCTCCTCAGCAAGATGAAAAACCGTTTCCAGATCTCAACGGGCGCGGCGAAGCTTGACCAGATGCTCCTAGCCATCAATCTGTACATTACACGGAGCCCTCTCTGGAAGAATGCCCCGGCCGTCCCCTTCACAAGACCCTACAGGCTGGGGGGTGGCATGGAAAGCTGCTCGATCACTGAGCTCTTCGGCGAGTTCAGGCCAAGCGTTTCCAATGCGAATTTCTGGCACACATGGTACATGCAAGCGGAGCACAGAGAGACGCGACGGACTTGGCTTGGGCTCGGCACTGACCGGCAGGTGTGGAAAGACACAGGTCTGCCACTCGCTCTCGGTGATGGCACAGCTACCTCCAAATATGGGTGGTGCAAACGGCAAGGTGCCTCCCTCAAAGCTCAGAAGCAGATGCGCGGTCCAATCTTCATCAGACTGCAGTGGTCGAAGCAGTGCCTCGAGGTCGTATACATTGACACAGAAGGCACTTTCAGACCTGAACGGATCCGTCAGATTGCCGAAGGCAAGGGCGTGTCCGCTGAGGCAGGAATGAGGGATCCACTGCAGTGCCCTTTGTCTTGAAGCTTGACTGGCGGTGATTCCTGCTTTCCATCCCAGGCTGCAATGAACAACATCGTGTATGCTAGATGCTACACCTCCGATCACCTCGAACAGTTGCTGCTGGAAGCAGCTAGCCTCATGGTGAATGACGAGGATCGTAACTTGGTTAACCTGATACAGGCAGACGAAGTTCAGTGCTGTGTGTTTGCACTCATAGTTTTTTAACGCGGAAGAAACTTTCGAAGCGAAGGCTTTGCGCTCTTGATTGTTGATTCCATCATGGGCGGCTTCCGCGTGGACTACTCCGGGCGAGGTGCACAGTGCGCGTGCATGCCACTTCATGGGTCAGCTGACACCACGTGAGCGTTGCAGGAGAACTGGCAGACCGTCAGCAGAAGCTGGCACGATTCTTGACAGAATTTCCTTCATCCATTACCTTGGTGGCGCGCGCTCTAGATAAAGTACGAATTCATCACGTGTACGTTGACCTTAGGTGTGATGAGCAAGCTGCAAAAGGTGAGCGAGGAGCTTAAACGTTCGATGTCCAGTCGGCTCTATCCCAACTTGAGAGTGAGCTGCAACTGGACAAAGCTCCTGCCCGTGCCGGGCGGCAGGAGTTCAATGTTGCCGTCGTTCTGACCAACCAGGTCATGGCTGATCCAGGCTCCTCTTGTGATCGTTGCAAGAAACTCGTCATGAAGCACACGCTGCGGCAGCGGTAGCACAGCGCTTGCAATGGTTTCACAGTCAAGTTGCGACGATCTTTGCATGGAGGAGGCGGCTGCGCTTTCATGCCAAGCCACCCGAAGCCTGTCGGTGGTCACATCCTAGCGCACTTCTCCACCACTCGCATCATGCTGCGCAAGGGCCGTGCAGAGCAGCGCATCGCGCTTCTCGTTCTGACCATGTTCGAAGGTGTTGCAGTGCAGCATGTTGCTGTCAGTGGACGGTGGCAAAGCAATTTTCCGGGCTCCGAAGGAAAATCTATGATTCGCCCTGCCTGCCCGAGAGCGAGAGTGTGTTCGAGATCTTCGCGGGTGGAGTCAGGCCTGCGTAATTGGAGATAGATGTTGCAGCCATTCCTGTCGGCACTTTCTGCTGCTGAACTCTACCTCCAGGAACAGCAGCGACTGATTTGCTTCTCGATCCACTCATAATCCTGAGTGAAGGCATATTTGCTAAGCCAACATTGAAAGTGCGAATCCACTGAGATTCATGAGCACATGGGGGTTTGGGCATGGGTTTGCCCGGCTCCTTTGAAGTTCATTTGGTATAAATGTAACACAGCCGCTTGATTGCTTGATCCGAATTCGACCAGGATGCCCGCAGAGTCAGAAAGGGCTACTCAAATCTGTTTCCTAAGTCCTTTGGGCAGTGGCCTTCTGATTTGGCCCAGGCCTTTAGAAGGCCTGTATCCTGCAAAGGAGAATTTAAGGAGTGAGCCTGAATGCAAGAGCATTGGCACATATTAGCACGGTGGCTCACAGAGCGTTTCGTCGCCTGGCAGGCATTGTTGGTTCGATGACGTTCGATGGCACTGGGTTGTGTTTAAAACACATTCGCACTGGGTACAGGCTGAACGAAGCCGCTCCTAATTACTTCCCAGTCTCCTGAAACCTGCATGAGAAACTACACTATGTGTTCCGCGATTTTACAACGACCAGCAAAGGGGGCCAAACTGGAAAATGCCTGAGATGATCCTGAGCATTGCTCTGCCGGACACACTGATAGAGCCTATTAGAAATGCCGCTCCTGCTTACTTTCCAGGCTGTGCCGCTACCCCCGCCGAGATCTCTGCAGCAGAAGGAGCAGCCTCCATATGCCACCCTCAAACATGCTTTCAGGCTCAAAGTCACCATCATGCCAGTGGCTTTCTTGGCAAGGAGGATGGGCTGGGCGCCTCCGTACCCGAGGCGGGATGGCGTTGCGAAGCGTTCCACAAATTTGCGCGCTTTCGGTTACCTCTGCAGAGCGTCCGAAGGACCAGGTCGGCAGCAAAAGGCGGAGAGAGCAGGAGCACAGTTTCGTCACAATGTCTTGATTGCTCAACGCTAAACTTTTTAAACTGCTAAAGGTGCTGCAGTGTCAGGATTCCGGCAAGGGGCTGCCTCTGCGGCAAGGGGTGTGCCCTGCCGTTGCCAGAATGTCGTGTTGGCATGTGTTGGTGGTTGAGCACGAGCACTTGCAGCCTTCAGGGCCACCGCTGCAGTGTTGCAGTCCTTATGAGCAGATGCTACACGAGTTGTAGAGAGCTTTCAGCTAAACGGAACGATTGGATCGGATAAACAATCATTCAGGTCGATGCTGAGGCTTCGCAAGCGTGGTAGACAACCTTTTCAGTGCATGGGCAGCCCATCACGCGAATCCAGGTCGGTCCGAGCCATTTGTAAGATCAGCATGTTGAGTGCATGTGCACCTTGGACTTGCAAACCTCTGCCCATCGCTCTGTTCTGAGCCATGAATCCTGCACTGAAGCGGCAGTTCGAGGCAACGGGAGGTTCCAGAAAGTTGGGAACATCCTGAGCAGAGCGTCAGGCTGCAGCTGTTGTCGACAAAGTGGTGGAAAAGCAGAAGCAGGCCGACATGTGCTGAACCGGAAGCATGGTAGCCTAGGCATTCTGCTTGTTCTGCAATATCAGGAAATTGAGAAAAAGCACACCTGGGTCCGCGGTGCATCGGAAAAGGATGGATTTGTGGTGGCTTCTCGCTGTAGCAGAACCAACTCCTCCAGACAAGCAGGAAAGTATTGGTCACTCGTGGCTGATGATGAGACATGATCGAACTCCAACCTTTTGCAACTTGTCAGGCAAAAATCCTTGCAGTTTTCGCCAAGGAGAGCACCGCTGTAAAACGAGTCAATTCGAGTGTCGTTCGTAAGTCACGACGAACCGACGAGAGAGTTGCTCAGGTCGCGTAGCCGGTTGTGGGGCAGGTTCAAACGATGCTAGGAAGAGATGCCAGCAGCTCCTTCCTCCAACTCGAGACCCTGAGTCGGAGCATTCATGCTTCTATCGGCGCACGACAAAATGTGGCGGAGGAACGTTTCCATAAGTCACATGTCGTAATGGCAGGGGGTTAGAATCTGAGTTGGGAGCACTCCCAGCATCCCTTTCTATCGCAAGCTTTATCACAGCCAAACCGTCGAGTGGTTGCCCGTGACGGCTCAACAGCAGGCGCGTGGACGAGAGATCGGGACTGTCCTTGCCTCGCCGCCACGTTTGAAGATCCGCTCTTTCCGGTTCCAAAATGTGGACGACGGTGACCATCGTGGTCCCAGGACTACGACAAGGGCAAGGGCTTTGGTTTCATCTTAGACGCGGACAAGGCGGGGCGCCTGCTTTGGCGCGGTGCCTTTCGCGGATCGCATCCAAGAGCACAGGAGAAAATCTTCGTTCACCAGTCCCAGATTATTGCTCCTGGCTTCCGCATGTTGGTGAAAGACCAGAAGGCCAGCGGCTTGACGTGCCCGGCTTCGGCAGATGTGTGCACCTTGCAGGTTTCTTTCTTGCGTGGAGAGAACCGTGGCAAGCCATGGTGTGAGGACCACCGGAGCTTAGGTACTGCGACCTGTTGTCGTCGACTTGTGCGCAGGACGTGCGAAACCCTGATGGCACCCCCATATCGCAGGAAAAGCCCGAAGAGGCCTCGAACGGCTCTGGTTAGGAGCAGACGTATGCCTGCATGTAGCTGCTCCTAATACGCCTGCCAACCATCGCATCTGGTGTGTGTGTGTGTGTGCGCATTCTCATCACTGGTGCTCGCGGTGCCAGCCCGAGTTCGGAACATCTGTGGGTTGCAGAAGCGATGTGGGAATCTGGGACCTGATACACTTTGTTTCGGGCATTGTCAACTACATCGGTTGGCAGCTTGGGGCTTCGGTTCATCAAAACTGTTCGGCGATGGAATCCTTGCCGCATGCTTTGCCTGCCTTGCCAAGCCAGCGTTGCACAACCTGCGCAGTACTCAATTCAGAGCCTTGCACGTCTCAATGGTTCAACAGTTATGTCAAACTTAATCCACAAAGTCGGAAGATGCCGACATGTGGCAGGCGTCCATCAGTGTTGTTGTCCCTAGGAAGGGTGTAAGAAGAGCAGAGCTGGGGTGCAGAGGGCACATGGGACACTGCAGAGTTTCTCAAACGTGGCTGTTGCGTACATTGCATGTTGCCAGAGTCGCTTGATGTATCCTGGTGCATGGAAGTTGCCATTGCTCGTGTCCGCCAGAACTCGTCCCAGTTGGCCAAGAAGCGCCGGCAGCAGCTCAAGGAGTTCTTTGGGCTTGGGCTGCGGAGCTTTGCTGCGTGTACTCTGGCTTTCGCTCCATTCCGCAATGCTTCTACATCTCTGCATGCCGACGTGGCGCGCACTAGAGTGCTTAAAGCCGAGTGTAGGCTTCATGGAAGATCGTGTTCGGCCGGCCCGACTTGACGCCCTCATGGCAGCCTCAGTCCATATGACTATAATACTATAGTACCCTTGGTCACAAGAACTCCGCTGAGTTTCTTCGTCCAACTCTTATCCTTACTGCCAATCTTACAGCAAGTTCGGAAGCCAAGACCGACTCAGCCCAAGGGCACCATCCAGTTTGAAAATTCGGAGCTGCGCATCACAGAGTTGTGCAAGCCAACATCCTGCCTTAAGCAGAAAACGCCCTGGGAAAGCGATGGCAGGGTGCATTTTGGAGCGGAGTTTGCGTGGAAGTTCGGGCGAATTTGAGAAGGAAGGCATGTTGATGACGCCTCTTGAAGGTCCGACTCACAATGTCGTGAGTCATGTGATGAGGAGAGAGCCGGCTTAGATGTCTTGATGTGGAAGCAGTGCTTTCGTGCGAGAGTCGCACCTCGCAACCGAGTCGCAGCTCACAAGGAGAGTTTCAGAGGCCCCCAGAAGCAGAAGCAGTGGTGGGAATTGTTTCCGCTGAGGGTCCAGCCCAGAGGCCCAACAGCGTCAGGGCACAGGCACAAGCCGTGCCGTGTTTGCACAGGAGCAGTGGCGAAACTTCTTCGAGATACCACAGTGACCCTGAGATTGACTCAGTGGTGCGAGAATCTGCTGAGTCGTGGATCGTAGTGATGCAGGTACGCTTTGAAGGGATATGGGGAATCTTTGCCAGCCACAGTCGCCAACCAGGACTGTGCGGCTTGCCTTTTTTTGTGGAGGCTGTTCATCTGCCCGGTGCTGTTTGCAGGACGCTTTCGTCCTTGGTGAAACAGTTCCTCAGTTGGGAAAGGCTGCCTTGCCTCCGTTATCATCACTCGTCCAACGCCGCCGATTCTGCTGCTGCAAGGTTTTCGTAATGGCGCATGGATGCACGGCGACGGTGGGAAAGGGCCGTGGCCGTAAGATTCAGTGGGAGCGACACGGTGGTCTGTCGTTTGTCACCACCTGGTCCAAGGCAATGAGTGTGCTACGTCCGCCCGCCTGGTTTTGAACAGCATCTACAGCTTTGCCCGCGATAATCATAACACATGAAGGGGTATTCCTGCCAGGTTTGCCAAAGAGAAGCTGCCAAAATTCATTGCAAAGGCATACGAGGCCGACTGCAAGGGAATGGCGAATATATTCCCCCTTTCTGGGTGATGAGAAGTGATGAGCCCAGGAGAAGCCAGATGCTGAGGAAGCTCTGAAGTCTGCCTTCGAGGCAAAACTCAGAGACGACGAAAGAGTTGCAGGAGGGTTTCTTCAAAGCAGGTGCTGGAGACAGAGTTCATGGAACGTGCGAAGATGAAGAGCCTTACGGACGGGGCCGAGGCATTGCTGCTGCCCCTTTTGAGCCACAAAGGGTTCTGCTCTTTTCTTGCATCTCCATTAATACAGAAGTTCTCGCACAAAGCCGCAAATAGTTGGCCATTGCAAAGGCAAGGGTGGTTGTGGAAATCTGTGGAAATTGTGGTTTGCTTGGAGCCAGGTCACCGCCGCTCTTTTTGTGCACGCTCTGAATGCTTCCGGTCAGCCATGTGTGTGGATCTCGGTTTGTGTAACATGTGGGTGTACAGATCTGCCGTAAGCCACTGTAAGCTGGCATTATTCTCGTCAGCGTCGAGCAAGGGGACTGACGCTGGGTAGCCGCTGGTACACACCAGAAACTTTAGCACTGTTGGTGGAATGGTGTGCCTGCAGACGCTCTCCAGCAGTCCAGGTGCAGCTCTGGATTGCAAACTGTGGTGCATCCGTGGTGGCCTTGTGTAGCCACGAAGGTGGAATTGTGTCGTCTTCGAATGTGGGCTCCGTCCATGATCGTCATGATCTAGCAAATCTAGTCGCTACAGCCGGCTTGGTATCAAGAATGGGCACATGTGCCGGCAATATACGAGTTCCGTGAGGTTGTGATGTACTGTAATTTCAGCAGGTGTGCTGAAACCGCATGCAGACGGAACTTGCATGCAGGTGTGCCGGTGAGGGTCATGGAGCCGTATACCACCCAGAAGGCCAAGAAATCTCTCCTCTTTGCTCCTGATAAGACTGTAAGCTGCAAAAATGTTCGCCAAATGCCGGCGTTCTCAAAGCCGATCAGGCCAGCGCTGCTCTCAAAGAGGCAAGTGTTGAAGCGGCATGGATCGGCCGTGCACCGTAAGCGCGGCTTGCTTCAGGTTGGGTTCAACGTCACAGACTCAGGAAAGGTGGACGTCTCCTTTGCGGAGGCGGAATGGAGACTTGTCTGAGAGCACCGAAATTGCCCGAGAGTGGGTGGAGGTGGGTCAGTCAAGACCGAGCCAGATCTTCAGGATGCCAGCCTCGAGGCTGATAGGCGGTAGGCCGGCCAGACTCTACGAAGTGTGTCACTGTGGCAGCAGCGGCAGCAGTAGCCGGACAGGCCTTTCAAGACCCCAAGGTCGCCGGTGGTTGGCCAACCCTCAGTGCGGACCTTGGCCTTGCCCAGAGCGTTCTGCCACATGTCGCTTGCAACTGCAGGTTAAAAAGGTACGTGAGCGCGACACTCGGTGAGAACTCAGGGCCTAGGGTGCCTCCAGCTCACTTGGCCAAGTAGCACCGGCCAAAACCCAGGTGGCGCTGCGTTGCAGGCGAAGAGCCATTCCTTGTCGTCTTTTCAGCTGAGGACTGCTGCATATTGTTGTTGGTGCAAGTGTCAAGCTTGGGTGTAGCTGACGGGCCAATGCCGGATCCGGCTCGCAAGCAGGTGGCGTCTGTCCTCAAGGATCAAGATGTCATCAACGTTGCCTTGGATGTGAGGGACTGAACCAAAGCTTGGATTGTTCTGGAGATGCCCTGCCAGCGCGTGAGGCCTGGGGTAGCCCAGCACAAGGGCTTGATGGTTGGGAGGCAGCCAGCAAGGCACTGCCTTGGGGACGACTTGCTAGAGCTTACCCCTGACAAGCCTGCGATCCTTTTTTAGATGGCATGCATTGGGACCGGATGCAGGCCGTGGTGCGTACGGCACAGGCTCAAGGCCCGGATCGTGACTCGCTGGCGTGCATGGCCCTTGTCCTCAGATCTTGCAGCCATCAGCCGACAATGTCTTCAAACTGTTTAGTTTCGAGCTGTCGAAGAACATGTGTCGCAGTGTCAGCCCGTTGTTGTGCAGGGTGGGCATGATCATGCGCTCTGCCGATTTCTGGTGCAGGTTCTGTGAGGAATAAGGTGACAGCTGCAACGTTACAGTCGCAGTTTCAGATACGCAAGATGCAGGCGATCTGCGATCTAGTTCATCGTCTCTTGCTTTACCGCATGCATGGGCGCAAGACCCAAGCCCTACTCGAAGTCTTTTATTTCTATGGACACCAGCGAAAACTGAGGAGACGGGCGAAAGGCGAGCATAGGTATGCTTGCAGTTGAAATCGGAACGACAGTGTGGAGGGGTTGCTGTGGAGTTGACTAACCGGACTGATGGGTCCAGTTCGGTTTAGAAGCCCACTACATAGTCACTACATGAGAGGGAGGCCTGACCTCACTTTGTAGCACACGCCCGCATCATCCGTAGACACCTCCCGTCCGTTCTCATAGTCGAACTGTGTCAGACTTTGAAGCTGCAGTAAGTGTAAACCGCTATTTCTGAGGCATTGCAGTGCTGGTGGCAGGCGGCCTGGAAGGTTTTACTATTGGTTTGCGCATCCAGTCGAACATCCGAGAACGGATCATCGAGTTGCTGCCGCAATTTGAGAGGGGCCTGCCGCATGGTTCAGGAGAAGCCGCTACAGCGCCTCCTCGCAAAGAGAGCTGACAAGCGAGGGCCCTAGCTCGTGAAGTCGAACGGGACGGAACATTTGCTTGGGAGAGCAAATCCACCACCTCGCCAGCTGCAGGAAAGAAGCAGAACCCGAGAAAGTGAACAAACCTGTCGATGACGGCTTTGACATGTTCGGATGACTGGGATGAACTCTCTGCCGGATGGGGTGGAAGTTCACGAAGATTGATTCGTTCAGAAAGGCGGAGTATAGGTGGGCCTTTAAACGCTTGACTGTTGCCTTTCATGTGGGTTGCTGGTTCATCCGAGTTGTCGAAGACACATGCCTTGACTTGCGACGGGAGAGTTTCGTCGCATCGGCGGGATCCAGAGCAAAATGCGAAGGGAGACCTTTCGTCAAGTGATGCGTGTAGTGCACGCGAAGCACTGCTCCATGAGACACGGCAAGAAAAATGCTTATGCTCCATTATGCTTCGCCCCCAGAATTCGCAGGAACCTGATCCGTCGATGGGGCAAGGCCAGGCTGCGATTATCACAAGACTGTCTCATGTATTTGACACTGTAGACATGATATAGTGTAATAGAATACATTAGATACACAGATCACACAGAATCAATCACACAGGAACAACATCGATGTAAATGACAGGAAGCAGCACACACGCTGATAGTATTAACTATCTCGACCAACTTGTGCCTGTGAGAGTTACGTGAACGCTTTGAGTTCCCCACATCTGCCTGGGGAGTGGCGCTTCACCAAAACAACAAAGGCTGTCCGTCCAGGTCCCGTGAGCAAATTTGCCATGAAGGGTGCAAAAGGTCGCAAGCTTGGATGCTGAGCGTGCCAGCCTTCATTGAATTCTCGCACTTTCTGCACATGCTTTTAGGCCCAGCGCAAGAAGGCAGGCACTTTCTTGTCTGCTTGTCTCGGACCTGTCTCGTGCTGGAAACCCAAGATACATGTCAGCCAGTTGCGGCCATGGGCAAGTCTGCACCAAAAGGCGGTGAGAGCCCAATCTTTCAATGCCCGCATGAATCTCGGGCAGCTTGGGGCAGAGTCTGGGAGGGTCGGGCAAGCGTAATTGCCAGCATTTGCGAGCATGTTGCCGGTGAGGCCCTCCTGCTGACCCCAGCCATGCCAGCGCAGCTGCCAGCCGCTTTTCGACAAAGGGGCTGCCTGGTCTGGGCCTTAGTTGCGATGGTATTGGGATGAACTTTTGACTGTCAACATGTGCTCGTGTGCTGCCCTCTTTGTTTGCTTCTTCTGATTGGATCATTCTGGGCATCAGTGGAGTTCGAAAGGGAACGACAAAGATTCACACACCTTCGACTGTGCGGATCGAAGGTGTTGCATCGTAATGAGGGAGGTGTGTGGTTGAGTCTTTGCATCGCATCACCCGCTGCAGGAGACAAGGTTTTCAGTGTAAAAAGATAATGTGATACAGGGTCCAAGTATCCCCAATAGACAAGCCTGCCAGTGCTGGGAAGACAGCTCCGTGCAGCTTGCCCTATTACTATCCTGTCCTGGAGTATGTTCAGACGTGGCGAAGGTTATGATTTCCGAGTGCTTAAGGCAAGCGCAGCCCTGAAGATTTTGGTCACTTCCAGGACCAAGGCAGGATGGTGCCTTCCAGTAGCCAAGACAAGTCGACTTGCGGCGTGCAGCAGGCCGGACGGCGAGTCCACGCCTAAGCCAACACTCAACATGTAGTTGAGGCTGTCGCCAGACAAGATGCACTGTCTGGAGGCAAGTGGCAGGCACCTGCAGACGTGGGCAAAGGCCTCCTGCTTCCTTGCGGGGGCAGACTGAAACTGGTACAGTACTGATGAAAACGGAATGTGGGCCGAGGCAAGGGGCAACAACGGCCAGAGGGTGGCAAACCCGGCATAGCCCTTAGATTGTGAATGAGCAGATAGGTTGGAATGCATGCATGATTGTACCGCTCGAGTTAACATTCTGAGAGTATTCTGAGGTGGTTGCGTTGCACGGAAGTTCGCCGGCAAAGGTGCCACTCTACATTCAGACTGCGTTGCGTGCTATACTTGTAGGTTCCCGAGGGGCCGACGGGAGCCACCCAAGTTGAAGTTTGTGCTTGAAAGCTTAATTCCGATGCTGGTGACAAAGGACAGCCATCATTTGTCTGCCTCAAGCATTGCCAGTGAATGCAGGAGCCGAGAGGTAACGTGACGAAGCAGAAGGTGTACAACGCGAAGGATCCTTCCTTCAGCTGCATTCAGCTCATCGCAAAGACAAGCTTGTCCTTTTACAATTGGAGCTCATGTGTGGCATTCAGGAGTTGTGGAAGATTGACTTGAAGTCGAGAGCAGCGAGTTGACCGCATCGACAGCACTGAAGCTGCACGGCGCGCCGCATGCGCGGCTTCACTGCCAGCACGCAGAACTCTGGCATCGCCGGACATACCTGGATGCGAAATGGTCGTCGTCATTTGGTAGTCTATTCATGGAACCATGGCCTGTGTGCGCAATCAAGTCTCAACATGCTTTGTGATTGCAGACAGCATCTGTGAAATCGGGAGCCAAGACCCTCGCCTGCCACGTGCCGGCTTCAAGCTTCGGAACACATCCAACTCCATCAATAGCAGCGGTGCACAAACCCAGCCTAACTGCATCATTTGCACGCATCGACCAGTCCTCTCTAGCTTTTTGTGGGGAAGAAGCTACCAGCGACACACACAAGCAAGAATAGCCCGAGAAGGTGCCGACCTTACGACTGTCTGCGTAGCTTGGGCCGCGGCTGGGCGTCGTCACTGGCATGGCTCAGCCGGCAAAGGGCGACCTTTCTGTCGAAGAGGCACCCCGCTGTGCGGCAGAGCGTGGCCATCTCTCCAGTGCACCAGCTGGCTTCTCCCTGTCTGGTCTCAAACGCAGACGAAAGAGCAGACAAACATGCACATGGCTCTAGACGAGCGAAAGCACTTAGATGATGTGCATCATGAGCATCGGAACAGTCATGGAGGTAAGGTAGATACACGGGGACCAAAACAGCAAAGATCTCAGCAGATGCTGTGCATCATCGTCAGCTGACGTTTCCCATGGCTGTCGTGCCTAATGCTGACGAAGCTGACCCGCAAGTCAGAATGCTGCATTTAGCCTTACTTACTTCGTGCTGGACGACGACCGGCGTCTCGCCAGAATTGTTCAAGACGCCTTGGACAGGTGCTAAGTGTGGATAAGTTCCTCTACGAAGACGGGGTGTATGCTTTTACCCCGGAGCGGGTCGAGCTCGCAAAGAAGCTCTGCTTTGAGAGGCCACCTTGCTTGAATTGTTGAAGTTGCTACCGACGCTTCCGCACAAAGCCTTTCCCGCAGTGCGTCTCAGATTGAAGCTCTTGGTGCAGAGCGGCCAGTGCCGGAGGCAGCGGACAATGTAAGCGACTCCGGTAGCTTGAGCTGATTGGCCAGCTTGGCAGGATTATTTGCACTTGTGGATGTCCCGGCGCGTGGCTCTAAGGTCGTGGGGCACCGTTTCTCCACTTCACAAGTATATGCTTCGGTTCAGGTCTTTCAACCCTCCAAGCAAGATTATTTGCTCAGGCTGGCAAGAGCACGTGGATCGCTGCGCACGGTCGAGAAGAGCGCACCGTGTTCTTCGACGACCTGTTGCAGCTCTGATTCAGTCACAACTGGAGCATCGCCCCGTGGGCTTGCGCTGCCATGCGCAGCCCAAGGTACACAGTCCGACATCGCGCACAGTTCTTGCAGAATCTGAAAGACTACGAGATCGAGGTCCCAGTCGAGATTGTGGCCATCGATGCATGGCAAGCACCTCTGTATTTGCTGCATGTTGCAAAGACGCCGGGACTCTGACCTCCAAACTACTGGAGCCGGCGATGATTCGGGAGGTCCCCTCTAGTCTCCTTGCGCTCAGGAACGAGACTTCGAAGCAGCGCTTGCTTCCAACTCGGCTCGGCCGGCTGATCGGCAGGCCTGGATGCATTGAGAACCCCACAGTTCCGCCTAGGCTTCTGGCTTTGTGTCTTTGCTCGGATCTCATGGCACGTCCTATCAAATCCGATAAAAGCGGTCCCCAGAAGTCAAATTTGATTTCGTCTCAACGCGGCCAGTTGCTTTGTCAGGTGCCGCTCGAGGCCATGCAGAAGTTCCGGGAGAACTATACCAGACCCGGTCACGTGGTTGGACCGGTAAGGAAGAGCCAGGAAGAGCTTCCTCACGGGATCGCCACAGTTTGAAAGCCTTCTTGCTGTGACAGAGCTCTTCTGCCACTGAGGTGGGGACGAAGGATTTTGCAGAGTGCGAGTTTTCGGCAATTCGTTTGAAGACAAGACTGGGCGCGGAGGGTTCAACCTCGAAGTCCAAGTGCCGCTTCGGAGCGAATGAGCGAAAAGCGGGAAAGCTGCTGCAAGCCGAAGCCGAAGCCGGCCCCTGCGCGCCGCTGCCCGTTGATGCCCGTTGCACAGTGGCAGGCAGAGGCGCTCCGCCAGATGCAGGAAGAAGTGAGCCGGGCACTGAGAGACACCAAGAGTAGCACTGCATTTGTGGGGTTCCATCTTTTCCTCGGGTTGTGCTTGTCTCAGGCTGCAAATTGCCTGATCTTCGCAGCCAAGGCTGCTGCATCGCATCAGTGAGCATGGCTTTGTGTTGTTTTCCAGGTGACCCTCACTGGCTAGCAAATGGAGCGCAAGTGGAGCTGCATGGCCTCCAAAAAGCTCAGGCGCACGCTGGACTTTTATTTCGGTCAGCAGGGCTGCCGCCGTTGTTTTGCCATGCAGACGTTGAACGGCCTGCGTGGTGAAATCGTTGGTAACGGCCCTGGAACTATCTGTGAAGCGAGTCAATGTCGAAAGTTTCTATGAGTCGGCACGAGGCTTCGATGACAAGCAGCTGAGATACCGTGCGCCTGGCACGGATGCAACTTCGGGCGTGTAGTTACGTCAGTCTCAGAGTCTCAGATCATCAAATTGTCATACCCGATTATTCGGAGCTGCAGGTAGGCTACTTTGCGTTTGTAATGTCGAGAAGTGCTCGTTGCGGTGGGAGGCTTTCGTTGATCCAGTTTCAGACATCTATGGTGTATGCAGTTCGTCTTTGCTGAAAGAGGGCTAGTTGCTTCAACCACGGGTTGCAGTTCAACGCGACGACGAATGTTGTCCGGGGTTTCCAAGCAACTGCGACGACAAGCAAGGAGATGTATAGTCTTGCAAGACGGAGGTTGTGTCTAAGCATGCCTGTCGTTTATGAAAGGGCGAGCTTCGAAGAGAAGGACGTCCTTCTCAACAGTGCCTGTTGCGTACAGTTGTGGTGTTAGGTCTGTTAAAATGGAGAAGACGTCATGAAAGGTGCTCGGTACGATAGCTGTTACACGACACCCATGGAGGAGGAGGAGGAGGTCATCAGCAAGCAACTGTTCAGCATCCGCTTGTGTTTTATCAAAGGCAGCTGGAAAATCTTTCGCACAGAGCACTTCAACTAGCGCTGTTTGAATGACTTGAGCCTGGGAACCAGCTCAGCCGTGAGCCATACGATCCTTTTCCTCATCTACAGGCGTCCTGGCAGCGAGCGACACTCTTGTAAAATGGAAGCTCAAAGCGGCAGAAACGTACTTGGAAACAGGCCACAGACACATGCCACGACACCGCCGACACACGGTTGCTGCAGAGCACGGATACTAAATCTGCCCGGGCCTGACCTGCATTCGGGAAAAGCCCTACTCTAATGCCAAAATGGGGGCCCAACGACGAAGCCGCCTGCTCGAGCCCCTTTGCAGAAGGCGAAACCGGGACGTGGGGGGCCCGCTTTCAACCAAGGCAAGCAGTCCTGAGGGCGTGCATGTTTTTTTCCCATTGTTCATCCCAAAGCCAACGTCCTAGATGTGATCTAGACTTAGCACATGCACAGGGCGGCTTCATGAAGTTTCACATAAGAGTTTGGGCCAGCATCATGTCTCATGATATCCCGAGCCAGACGGATATACCTCCCCAACAAACAGTCAGACCTGTTTATCCCGAGTAAGGTTATCTTGCTTACCAATTAAGTCTCTAATAGGTAGCCATTGTTCATCCCTTCCACTTAAATGGCGACGAGCGACGTTCCGACCGCCGTATGGAGAAGAAATCGGTTTTCAGTGCCCGCGTTGCTGCTTCTTGCAGGTTTGTGGTTGTTATCTTGCAGTGTGTGATATTGCATCTTTGTATATCTTTGTACCTGTCTCTCTGCTCACTCCATACTCCCCCGTGGCAAAACACAAAACCACTTTCAGCGAACAGCACAAACCAACAAAAGGCACACAAAAGTCAACATGCAACATCAGTTGTAAGGATGCACACTGGTTGTCCAAGACAAACCTGCATACAACGCATAGCAAAACACCATACCATTGATCGCCTCCGTGATGAGTGCGAGCAATGCTCGACATTGGCTGTGTGTTTTCTTCCCCAGCGCCAGAGTGAGTTGTTGACTCTGATTCTTCTGCTTGCCCCGACACCTGCCATTACAAAACCCTTTGCACAAGGTCGTGGAGTATGCAGGATTGCCCAGGCTTCCGATCTGGAACTGCCACAGCAGCTGTGCAAGTGCTGCGACCAACAGAATGCGCCTGTCCATCATGCGAGCAACAAGAACAACGCCTTGCAGCCAAAAGGCTGCAGCCCCCTCTTGAGGGCCTGCAGGGCGAGCTGAATCGACACGGGACTTCGGCTGGCGCAGGATCGGCAAGTCAGAGCTGGACTCTTGGGTGTCCATTGCTCCCCCAAAACAGATGAGCTGCAGAACGTCACGCTTTGCGGTGTGAAGCTTGGGAACGGCAAAGGCATCGTTAGCCTGAAAATGTCAAAAGTTTGCAAAGGGAAGTTGAAGGAGCCCTCTGAATCAAAAAAGCTTTGTTCGATTTTGATATTCACTCGCTATTTTTGCAGCCCTATTCCTTGCGCTCACGGGCGAGAATCTTCTTGCCTCAATGAGGCGTGTCCCTCGAGCAAGTCCTGCTGCGAACGAGGACACTGGAATGCAAACAGTCTTACACTGTGGCACGCGTGCACCTGCATGATGACTCTTTTCGCCTGCCCAGCGGAGATTCATGACCCCTATGCACGCTCATGATACAGTATGATTTATACAGCTGCGCCGTCAATGGCAGCGTAAAGTTGTAAAAGAGGGACCCAGCAATGCATGTACACATGCATGTCCGTATATGTCCGTCGCACTGTTTATGCTACCACTTGATGCCAAGCCGCGGGGGCAGCATGAGGGATTGCTGGTTGTTAGCCGCTGGCCTATGCTAGCAGCAAGTGCACGGGACCGTGCGATTCCCCTTCTCATGCAACCAACGAGCTAAGCTCGAATAGCAGAAATCAAAATCCTATGTGCCTGTTCCAGTGCGGGGAGGCTCATTGCAGCGAATCAAGCACATCCGACGCCAGCGGAGCTTTTGATGATGATCTCTTGATCATGACAGGTGTTCGGCTCCACTCCGACAACACTGTGAAGGCGCCACGCCGGCTTGCTGTGCAGTCCCGGCAGTTTCTTTCTTATGCATAAGCTTGCATGCAGCCAGCCGAAGATGAACAGCCTGTCAGGTTGTTGCCAAGAAGAACCTGCGACTGCTGACGCTGGAGGACAACCACGCCGCGAAGTTCCGGGCTTCTGCAAGGGGTCCGCCTTCCCAAGTCGATTTTTCAATTTCAGGGCACAAGCTCGCATGGTCCACACTTGTTAACACAATGGTGCACGAGACAAGGAGGGCACAAGAACTTCAGTGTATGCTGATCCACACTCATGAACACAAACAGGCCCACGAGCAACGTGTTGGCATCCCGAAGGAGCCAACAACAGCTTTAGCCATTCTGTCACCTCAGCATCCAAATCTAAGAAGGACAAGGCTGAAAGGGCAGATGCCACTACGGAAAGTGTACTCAGATTCGATAGCTGTGGGAGTTTGTGGCAATGAATGGAATATTTGTGCAAGGGTCCATGTTTGTTGAAACAAGTTGCTACAACAAGCCAATGCAGACACGAGGCTCACTTGACGTTCTGACTACCAAGTGGCGCGGCAAAGATCCGTCGAACTTCCGCCAGACTACAGTTGGGAGGTTGTTTTTTTGCAAAGGACTGGCTGATTGTTGACGAGCATGGCGGACATTGAACAACGGCAAGTTCAAAAGGTGCTCCAAGCCCAAGCGGACGATGCCTGCTGTGCTTGCACGGTTGTTGGGTATTCGTATCGCCGACGACCAAGCAGGCATCGACACTTGACAATCGGTGCCTAAAGCGAGTCTTCCATCAGCACATGTTGAAAAGCTATGTTCAGAAATCCTGGCATTGCAACTTGCTTTATTTGATGCGCCTGAAAGTGAGGAGCCACCGCATGAGAGCTAAAAGCCTCTTGAAAAAGAGAGGTTTGGAACGTGATCCATGTGTAATGATGGCACTTTTGTGGGGGTGCTGCCAGGGTCCAAGTTCGATTCAAGCTGGCCTGAAGGATCTGCAGCCTGCGCCGATAGTACCGGGCTTGGGCTGTGCACATCTCGTTTGGGATTGCTGGCAACCGCCCTTTTCTTTAGATTGGGGTTTTGCTGTCCCAGTCCCCCTCTTTCACAACATGCGCTCGTGTAGAGCTGGGTTGCATGGGGCACTGTCAGAAACAGAGCCCAGCTCCTTGGAAAGAGCCGCCTGGTGGGCTCAAGGCTGCGAGCAGTATTTTTCTTCACTGTAAGAGCTTCCATGAAACCGACAGGTTGGGCAAGCACGCCGCTTCAAGAAGAGAACTGGACATTGTCTCTCGCAGACCTGGAGGCCATATTTGATGAGTGCGAAGAGCGTGGATTTAACTGCCGTCATTTTCGAAGGTTCGTGGAAACCGGTACTTTTTTGGGTCAAACTGTGGTCGCACTGTCAGCACACTTTGATGAGCTCCATACAATAGAAGTGGACAGCAAGCTCTTCGAGGCCGCGAAGCTGGCATCTTGGAAGGCAGCGCATCCAATTCATTTTCACCTTGGACATTCGGCACATGTGCTGGAGAAGATCCTCCCTCGCTTGATGGGCCCAGCTGTTTTCTACCTCGACGCACATTACTCGGGTTCAGTGACAGGCGGTGCCTTTTCGGAAGTCCCTCTGCTGGAGGAGCTGGTTGTTTTGGAGCGGCAATTTATGCATGCAGGCCTTGTCGTGATTGATGATATGGATCTTTTCAGCAAAGTGAATTCCTTTGAGATGGTGAGCGGCAAGACTGGCAAGAGTCGCGGAGAGAGAGCATCGGACTGGCGCGCTATCAGTTGTCAGTCAATTTGTAGGTGCTTCGCCCCCCAGCGAGTGCAACGCAGCTTTCCCAGCCGTTCAGGAAACCGCTACATCCTCTGTCTAGGAGCCACGACCAGTGGCAAAGATTCCGAGCCACCACAGCTGAACACCGCTTGCTTGACTTATGGCGCTGCTTGCCCGGACCTGGCCTGGAGATCCTACGGTGCTTCACACTGGCTCTCTGTCCCTGGCCATCCGCTGAGCTTGGACGGCCTCAGACATCTCCGTGCCGAAGGCCCCTGGTGGTCCTCCATTGCCGATGCCATGGAGACTGAGCCCAGAGCTGAGCCGACGCCCGCCGCCACGTCTTGGAAGCAGAGAACTTCTCGCCACTAAGACTCTAAGGCATCGCAACTCCCTGGGCAGCTCTTCGACACAGTTTCTGGAGGTGGTTAAGCAAATGAGCGATGCGAGGACCGTCAGGGCTTTTAGCCCTTGCCTCAGCCTCGATGCAGGGAACAACAGACTCCTTCCTGAACCGCTCGATGTTCCGCACAACGTAAGTTGCGCTAAGACTTCCGACCTAAGTTTATTCCTTCGAAGACATGACCCAAAAAGACCCACTACAGCTGACGCTGGGGCGAACCAGCACTCCTCGGAAAACATAGTCCGTGAGATTTGTCGTGGGCCTTACTGGTGTACCGCTTGCGCCCTCCGGGCATACCGCCGTAGCTAACACAACCAAAATTGTAGAAATGGAGTTCTGTCCTGTCGATTTGCAAATTTTGCATCACACAAAGTTGAACACAGACATGGTCGCTGCCCAACAAGAACTTGCGAAGAGAGGACTTTGCACCGGATTCATCGTCACAGAACGCCCCCTGATTTTAAGCATCAGCGGTACCAAGAAGTCAACCGAGCATTTCCCAAACAGGTTTCGCACCACTTTTCCTGTCGAACAACGTTTCAGGAGTGCACGAGCAGTTTCCCAAACAAGTTTCGCACCACTTTTGCCCGCAAGCAGATCCCCAAACAGGTTTTGCCCCACGAAATGCTCTAGTCTTAAGCATGGGCAGGGCTCCCAACCTTTACTTATTACGGTTCAATAAAATGAGTCTTATTCTTTATAGATTGTTATCCTTATTGTTCTTACCACTACAACGACGACGACTACTACTGCTACTAAGTGGTATTGCTACTACTACCGCTACTACACTAGAAGAATTGCTCTTATTGTTACAATTGGTACTTTTCGTATTATTATTGCCACAGTTATTACAATTACGAATACTACTATGATTATTGTTACTATGCTTTTTATTGTAATTCTCACTATCAATAAACTTGGAATTGCTAATGCTATTCTGTCGGCGCAGCTCTCCAAACAGCGAAAAACCACATCAGAAGCATGCAGTTGTGACCAGGATGGCACGACCACAGTCACGCAAGAACAGGCCTGAAATGCTTTGGAAAACACAGGTCACAACTGGTTGCCATCTGTGTTTTTCCAGCACTTACGCCATGTTACCAACCACGAAGAACGACCATGCCGACCTGGACGACAACGACCGGGGAAGGAGACCATTAAGAGACAACCGTGAAACCACCTCGGACCAGCATGAGCACCGGAAAACCACCAAGACATTGCCAACATGTTTTCCCCCAACTGTTGGCGCATTCAAACCACACTTCGAATGCCTTCCCTCAAGTATAGTGGCGGCTCGAGAACCAGCGCGAAAGTATTTTCCACCATGTGCTGGCGCGTTTCGGGCGATTTATGAGACAGAGAGCCAGACGACCTCCTCTTGCCTGGCCTACAGCCCTCAGCAGACGAGAGTTTGGCGACAGTCAAACTCTTCTTCGCGGGGAGAAGGAAGTCCTGGGAATCCCATGTGTTTTTGTACGTGGAGTAACGACGAATGCTTTGTCAACGTGACTTGAAAACGATGCTACAAGAATATGAATGTCATCCTCGGTCACACCATCCGCTCTCTGCACACACACAATCGAAATTTCTCGGAATTTTGATCACAGCCACATGTGTTCAGAAGTGAGCTGAATTGACATTGTGCGGGAGAATCAGGTGTTGTCCTCCATACTAGAAAGCCTCTTAGATGCAAGTCTTACATGTTCTTCATGCCGCTTTCACAATTTGGAATTCCACACGTTGCGGCTTTGTAGTCACCACGTCTTTCTGGCTGTCGATGTTCCTTGATTTCCACATGATGACTTGCTATTGATGTTGACTTCAGACGCAGATGTGTGCTTTGATATGTTTTGATGTAAGGTGCTGGACTGGTCAATTCGTGTTCGGCGGATTTCATGCACTGCGCAGATACTTCACTGTCAGATGAAGTTTGTGGGGATAGACCGGGATAGACCATTTCAAGAGGACGTGACTGGCAAGTCACCAGACAGGTTTACGCTCCTGACGTGTCAGAACCTCAGTTACCGTTGGAGCTAGGAGCAAAACATCGAAGCTTTGCGAGAAGTCAGTGGACGTGAAGCTTACTCGCCAACAAGCGATCATGATGCACGATGATTTGCTGGAGGCCAGGGCCTCCAGGGCCCAAAGATTTTGCTGTCACGGCATAGGCCTAGAGTTTATGAAAAAAAAAGTCGCGCTCAGCTGCATAGGTGTACATGGACGAAGGCTTTCAGCGAAAATTGGAAGCAGCCTGGAGTGCTGCCGGCGACAAACGGGCGCACCAACAGAAAGCCAAGCGAGAGGTGTGTCTACCACTGCAAATGCCCATCGTTGCAAAGTATGGCTTTGAACCCACTGAGAAGGGAGTCTTTGCGAGTCTCTGGTCTATCCGCACCACTTTCTTCAACTTCGCGACCGAAGCGAGCATGGCCCATGCCTGAGCTGCCTTCACAAAGCTGATGCAGGCACTTTTTTTTTCGAATCCCAGCCCCACAGGAACTGTCCTGCTGTCCGGACCGCACTCAGGACGTTGAAATGACGATGAAGGCCGAACTGATGCATTTCCTCGTGACGCCAGGAGCAGAGCTCCAACAACACGTTGCAGCCTGGGCTTCCCGAACGTACAACAATCAGACGGTACAGCGCCGCGTCCTGCCGTTTGTGAGCCGTCGGACTTCGTGAAAAGACCTGCTGTTCTTTGGACAAACTCCAGGCTGAGCGGACGAAGCGTGGCGGAGCGAAGTTGACTCGGGCGGCCGATCGTTGTCGCACCTGCACATCCCGGAGATTCAGGGAGAGCTCTCGAGACGGTTTTCAGTGCTTCCGATGGCGTTTGTCGAGGTGGGAACAGCTTCGACCTTCAGACCCAGATCCACTTCCCATCGTGCTCACCAGACTCTAGACAGAGGGCGCCATCGGTAAAAGTCTAAGTCGATGCAGGACAGGCCGATCGCAACGTGCAGTTTCGGTGCATGCTCCACATGCTTCGAGTCTAGTCATTAATCGAGGCTGCGCCGGCCACGCAACATAGCGGGTCCACAGGCAGTCTCCCAGCACCCAGCAGACCACTCAGTTTCAATTCATGTGTTGGGTAGTCTCCGCCTTTGCTGCAAGTTTCCACAGCAAGGTCAGTCCAGGGAACTGGTGCCGGCAAGAGCTCCCCAGACGCCAGGCAGAGTTCGCATGCAGCTCATTCCGCCGCTCCTTCGCGCGGAGCCCACCCGCAGGCCGAATCACCCGTGAGATGGTCCGCATCTCGGGTTTTGGCGCAACGTCAACTCTTCCCATCAACTTCTATCTTGGTGCGTCAGAAGCTGCCTGCAAGACTCACATACGCAAGACACTCCAAACAAAACTCGGCAGCACTCGCGCTGATTTCCATAGCGGCAATGTTGCGAAACACTGAGGTTCTCAAGGCAGTCGACCGGGTAAAAGCAGACACTGTGGCTTTGCAGCAGCGCCGGGATGCTCGGGCTTTGCTTCTGAGAACGATGCATAGCGAGAGAGGGAGTCGGAGTGAGAGTCAGAGTGAGGGTGAGAGTGAGTAGTGTTCAGGGCAGGGCTCGCAGCATGCGCCGATCGAGGCCAACTGTGTTGGTAGATAGCACTAGGAGCAACCCCAAAACGTTCGTACAAGCCGTATCAAGCCGTCCATGCGTTCGTGGGGGACGGCCGGGCCACTGGCCTGTGGGTCGCCTTTCGACCCTTGCGCCCGGCGTAAAGAAAGAAAAGGAGAAGGGGAGAGAGAGAGAGAGAGAGAGAGGCACCCGTAGCCATTTTGGCTCAAGTCGACCCGCCGCTCTCCTTTGGGGGGCGCCTGAGGCCGGCCCTCTGAGCTAGCTGGCTGTCCCCAGCTTGCTCATTGGGCGGACGAGCCCCAGGCGGGGGGAGGCTTGAGGCCAACCGTCGTTGCTGTTTGGTTCCAGTGGCCATTCGGGGGGATAGCTGTTCGAGCCATCGTCCTCAAGGGAGTGTTCGTGACATCTTTGACAGTGAGGGCGACCTAGCAACTGCAAGTCCTTCTCCACCGACGTTCCTGCCGGAAGGGGGACAGTCAACCACGAGCCAGAGGCCTTTGCGTTCCTTGGGACAGCGTGCTCACTGTACCTGCTGACTGGGTGGGGGAGTACGTCATCCAAACGGCCGTGATATCTGGGCATCGGCCGCGACATAGTGACGATCATGGCGGAGGAGTGCAAAATATGCAGACGGGGAGCAGGAGTGTGCACGGTGGGGATGCGAAAATCACATGTTCGCACCGATCCTGCATGCAGACTGTACGGGGTGACCTCAGCAGCGACCGCTTCACCGAAAGCCCGAAGCAGAAGCCCACCACAAGAGCAAA